CCCTGGTTTCAGTTCAAGTGATCCAACCAAGGTGTGTAAGCTGAGAAAGTCTCTATATGGGTTGAAACAGGCACCAAGATGCTGGTTCGCAAAGCTGACAAGTGCACTTAAAGAGGCTGGGTTCAAGCAGTCATATTCGGATTACTCACTCTTCACCTATATCAAAAAGGGTAAGAGTTTGCGAGTGCTCATTTATGTGGATGATTTGGTGATAGCAGGCAGTGACTTCGACATGGTGATGAAGTTCAAAACACATCTTAGCAAGTGCTTTAAGATGAAGGATCTTGGTAAAATCAAGTACTTCTTGGGCATAGAAGTCGCGAGAGGAGCAGAGGGAATGTTTCTTTCCCAACGAAAGTATGTTCTTGATATAGTGAATGAAGCGGGTCTACTTGGTTGTAAGCCGGTCTCAACCCCCATGGAGCAGAATCATCGCCTTCTCTCCGATGAAGGACCGTACTACACAGATCCGGCTCGGTTTCGACGTATGGTAGGTCGCCTAGTCTACCTCACAATCACCAGGCCGGAGCTCAGCTATGCTGTTCATGTACTTTCTCAAGTGATGCACAAACCAAGAGAAGCGCACTGGGAAGCTGTTGTTCGAGTACTGCGATATCTCAAAGGTAGCCCGGGCCAAGGAATCATGCTGAAGACTGCAAGTGATTTACGCGTTCGTGGTTTCTGCGATGCCGACTGGGCATCGTGCCCAAAGACGAGACGATCACTATCGTCGTATATAGTTCTGCTGGGAAATTCCCCTGTCTCTTGGAAGACTAAAAAACAGGATACAGTGTCACATTCTTCCGCTGAAGCTGAATACAGATCGATGGCGGCAGCATTGCGTGAGTTGAAATGGCTTAAGAGACTTCTGGGAGATTTGGGCATTGCTCACAAGTCGCCAATGGAGTTGTTTTGCGACAGCAAGTCCGCGTTACACATAGCGCAGAATCCGGTGTTCCATGAACGCACAAAACACATAGAAGCAGATTGTCATAGCGTAAGAGACGCAGTGCAGGATCGTCTTATAGTTACTAGACATGTTCGTACCACAGAGCAACTGGCAGATATAATGACCAAGGCACTAGGGAGTTCGCAGTTCCATTACCTTCTCAACAAGTTGGGTGTTCGAAACTTACACTCTCCAACTTGAGGGGGAGTGTAGAGAATGGTATGGTTTAGTAAGGTTCGGTCTAGTGGTTATCGCAGTAATGAAGAGATGAGCATCAAGGCAGTTGCAGATATGCTCAAAGGATTGTGTTAAGGATTGCAGAAGATATTATACCTTAGAATATTCCTGTAATCTGATCGTATATATATGTACAACATATGACGTGAATAAGATAACAGTGTTCATACNAGGTTCGGTCTAGTGGTTATCGCAGTAATGAAGAGATGAGCATCAAGGCAGTTGCAGATATGCTCAAAGGATTGTGTTAAGGATTGCAGAAGATATTATACCTTAGAATATTCCTGTAATCTGATCGTATATATATGTACAACATATGACGTGAATAAGATAACAGTGTTCATACAAAAACATTCTCTCTTAGTTTACAGGATTATAGATATTGTAAAATTTAGATTAATTTATAAAACAAAATGTGTAGATTTTTTTTTTCTTTTGGTAAGCAATCTGCAGAAGTTTATCAACTAAAATGATCCACAATGCTATAAAATACGAAAACTAGCTCCACTATATGTAAAACACTCATGATTAATGATAATCATGATTAGCAATTCATCATTAATTTGTTTTGCTATTGCTTTGTCCCATCAAAATAAAACCATATTTGTTTACAGACAATGGGAAACGCAATAATATCAAACTTCTACGTGAAAACAGTAACAATTATCTATATGATCAGATGTAAAGATGATTAATCATAAATCTTGATGCCTGATTATATCAGCATATATGGTTGTTAACCATTTTCTGGCATCATCTTTTAGAGTATTCTTAAACACGATTGAATTATCAATTATTTAGTGTTTACTGATGTTAATGATCAACACATGCGATTTTCATTGACGAACACAATTAATTGCGTCTAGGCTGGTAAAAAAATCGACAAGTGAACAGGAAGTAACAATAAATAGTTATGCTACTTTATGTTATGTGTAAATAGACGCATTTGAAAAACCAAAACAAAATTAGGCTAGAACTTTTCTATATCTTCTGTAACTTATCTATTACATGGGTGGACTTTTATTTTATTGGTATCCAATCAGCAGGAATATTATCATTAATTTGTCTCCACGAGCTCTCGTAGATGACATATACTTTCGCATTATGTGAACACTAGGCAATGCATTTTCGCTTTTTTTTTGTTTCCTTACAAAACTTAATACATTGCTGAGTTAGCTAAATATTATGAAAGAAGAAATAATCGAGGGCATGCATGTAATGCAAGCATGCAAGATCTATTATGTTTTTTTTTTGCTTGCTAAGAAAAATTCCGCAGCCTGGAATTCAAGATTCAAACACTGTGTTACCAACAAACTAAAAAAAAAAAAAAATCAAAATCACTAGATCGAATCATTAATGAAAACTTTTTTCTTCTATTTATGTTGTATGTACCAACTTGTTTAATGGGTGAAAGAACAAGAGACATGACCAAGTGGTGTCAAATGGATGCGCATTTGAAATGTTAGTCTATATTTGTCATCTCCAATATAAAAGGCGTATTACCTAATCTGGACAATGCTTTCCTACACTGGAGCATTTCAGCTCTGTAGTTTTGTTATACTTGATAACAAATTTACTAATTTTAATAAAATAAAACAATCAATGTATCATTTTACTCTTTTTTTTATCTTTAGTATGATACAATATACTATGTAATTTGTAGCTTGAATGACCTCTTTTGATAAATCAATATTGGTTTTGGGGTTTATGGTTAATAAATAGAAGCATTAGCTTACTTGGTGAATACATTTCATTTTGGGAAGAGGTCTCCATCCTTGTTTTTTTGAGCTATCGAGAGGCGACTTGAACCAATTAAGTTTTACGTGATTAATGTAAATTAATCTCATGTATTCTGTTTCATTATTGTTCTGTGATTTAGAAAAAATAAATTATTTCGCTGTTTTATCTAAATTTTGGCAATTTAAACTTTTCTATTAACATGCATCTCAAACAAATATTTTTTTGGTCTATATATACTTTTCACTTACATGTATAATAAAATAGTTTTTACGTTATCCAGGCATGAATAATCTTTTGGATCAAAAACAATTTATTTTGGAGTTTTAACGAAAATTATTTTGCTGTTTCATTATTGTTCCGTGATTTAAGAAAAAAATATTATTTCGCTGTTTTATCTAAATTTTGGCAATTTAAACTTTTCTATTAACATGCATCTCAAAAAAATATTTTGTTGGTCTATATATACTTTTCACTTACATGTATAATAAAATAGTTTTTACGTTATCCAGGCATGAATAATCTTTTGGATCAAACATAATTTATTTTGGAGTTTTAACGAAAATTATTTCGCTGTTTCATTATTGTTTCGTGATTTAAAAAAAACAATTATTTCGCTGTTTTATCTAAATTTTGGCAATTTAAACTTTTCTATTAACATGCATCTCAAACAAATATTTTTTTGGTCTATATATACTTTTCACTTACATGTATAATAAAATAGTTTTTACGTTATCCAGACATGAATAATCTTTTGGATCAAACACAATTTATTTTGGAGTTTTAACGAAAATTATTTCGCTGTTTCATTATTGTTCTGTAATTTTAAAAACAAAAATTATTTCGCTGTTTTATCTAAATTTTGGCAATTTAAACTTTTCTATTAACATGCATCTCAAACAAATATTTTTTTGGTCTATATATACTTTTCACTTACATGTATAATAAAATAGTTTTTACATTATCCAGGCATGAATAATCTTTTGGATCAAACACAATTTATTTTGGAGTTTTAACGAAAAAGAGATATGTGCTTTAGTTATGTAAAAAAAAATTCAATAAATCACTTCTATGTACATCCAATAGTATGTAACTTTTAAGTGTAAAACCTAGCTACTCTTCTTCATATAGAAAATATTCTAGAGATAAAGATATGCATGATTTTCTTTTACATATTAAGTATATATCATGTGTGAGTTTCCCATAGTATCTCTACTTTAATAACCACTTTAGTTGCACCAAAAAAAAAAAGAATTTCTACATTAATCCATGGTTTGATGGTATGTATAAATTATTATGCCAAAGACAGCTATATGAGTCCATAGTTTATGATAATTATGAAATGACATCCATTGAAAATTGTAGTAAGAGGTGTTTGATTAGTACTTGAGGGTTAACAAAACGTAGGGGACAAAAGTAGATTGCATGGTTTGACATGGTAATTACATCTTATCACCCAAAAAACCTTAGTTAATTAAAAGGAAAACACAACTAAGATTTTGCTTTTACTTTCTCTTTTTAGTACAAATCCCACCTGTTAAATTTTATAGATTTACGAGGCAGTCAGAGCAAAGAAGATTCACCTATATAAAATTTTAATATTATACTATATACTTAAGAATTAAATAGTATATGCTCTTTTGCTTTTATTGTGGGGAGACCCACATTTTCTTTATGTTTGCTTGTAGGCTATGTAATGCCCGTTTATATTTAGAGCCGGGTCACATAGCATTTTCAGCAAAAAATGAATAAAACTTAATAATTTCAAAGTTTAGATAATGTTTTACTAATTTTCCTCGTATTTACATTACTCTAAATGATTATAATGGGTAAACTAAGTTTCCTAAACAAGAAAAGCTGTTTTTACACAATTGCAGATTATTTATCAAATTGTTTTGTTCAAAGCAAGCTAGATATGTAACTTTGTTGAAAAGTGATAAGTTTATTGCAAGCATGGATGTTGATGGACGATGATGATAAAGGTAGTTTTGTAGTTTCATAGTTGTTGATAAATAGACATAACCACATAAACCCGTTGGTTTGTAAGAATGTTAATTTTCAATACAGACCAGTGTTTCTCATACATGCCGGTTTAATTAACCGGTCCGATCCCATCCTAACTCCGCAATATAAACCATTTTACCATATAACGCAAAGATCATAGCAGACAATGCAAACTGGAAGCAAAACATAAATAAGTCTCACAAGAGATCAATCAACAAAGCAAAGCCTAAACAAGTCTTATAACATCAAATAGCATATGAAATATATATGATAGGAAAGAGTTTGATGATGGGAGTCATGGCATAAGTATGCTGAAACCTTCAACTAGATCAGCTTCCTTTGGTTGGACAATGAGGTTGTCAAACATATCCCCAAGCTTCAGATGCTTAACCATAGTATCCAACACTTTGTCCTCTGTCACAGCTTCAGCAATCTTTTCCTTTCCCTTGTCAGGTCTTGAAGAACATGCAAACACCAGCTCTGAGATCCTATCCTTCTGTGCTTGCTTACAATACTTAGGCCCCTCAGGAGTTCCCTTTGCAACCAAGTGATACGTGTAGACAATCCTCTTCTGTCCGATTCTATAAGCACGGCTTATAGCTTGTCTCTCCACTGCAGGGTTCCACACAACATCCAGAAGAATCACCCTTGATGCTCCTACAAGATTGATCCCTTCAGAGCATGCCTTTGTTGAAGCTAACAACACTTTAGCCTTTGATTTAGGATCATTGAACTCGTTGATCAAGGTCTGTCTCTGCTTCTGCTCGAGCTTCCCATGCATGTACAACACTTCTTCCCCTTCAGTCCACTTGAACCAGTTCACCAAATGCTTCATAATCAGTTTCAGCGGGTCAATGTATTGGCTGAAGACAAGCACCTTCTCCTTAATCACAACGCACAGCTTGATAAACTCCATGAGGAACCTTGTTTTCACACTTTGGTTTGGGTCAAGTCTCACCTTCTTGAGCTGTGCAAGCAAGGTCTCATTAATAGTCATTTTTTCTTTCCCAGTCAATTTGCAGTGAGAGACAAGTGAAGGATGGACTGAGACCAGAGAGAGCTTGTGTTCTGTCTCAAACACATTCTTCGTTTTCTGGTTATGTGTGACTTCAATTGATTCCAGGACTTTTCTCTGAAGATCAGGTGGGTTCAACACCACAACACACTCTCTCAAACCAGGTAGGCTCTTCTGAAGAATGCTTCCTTTATGAACATGCACAAAGGGTAACATAACAGCCTTAAGCTCCTCAATCCCACGGTTGTTGATTTCATCTCCCAAAGCTCTCTTCCCTCTTTTGGTTACAGTCATCCCACTCTTCTTCAGTGTTGCCGTGAGTCTCTCTAGATACTTAGGCCTTGCAAGTCCCAAAACATTGCAAAGCTCCTGGAAGTTGTTCTGGAAAGGAGTTCCAGAGAGCAAGATCCGTTTCTGTGTCTCCACTTTAGACAGTGTTTTCCATATACAGCTTCTCTGGTTCCTAGGCGTGTGTGCCTCGTCAAGAACCAGCAAGCCAGGTACTCCCATAAGTATCTCTCTGATGTCTTCCAGCTCTTTGTCTGGTTTCATTTCTCTAGCTGACTTTGTCTTTTTATCCTCGTCCTTAACTCCTGCAAGCTTCTCATAGAGATTGTAACTGATCCCAAGTATGCTCTTTGATTTTATCCAAGAGTATATCTTCACCATCCTTATCTCATTCATGCTTCTAGCACTAGAATTCTTCTGCATCAGAAGCTTGGAAGCAGCTGAGTTCTCTCTTCCAGTAAACTCCAAGCTGCTTAGATTATGGAAAGGAATGCTTATGTTCCATTTCTTGAACTCCTCCGCCCATGTGAGAAGCAAGCTTGCAGGAGCAATGATCACTGGTTTGCAGTTAGGGAAGCATTCTAAATAGGCTTGAAGGAAAATGATGGTGAGACGAGTTTTCCCTGTCCCTGGAGCGTGTGACATGATGCATCCTCCTGTCTCTTCACTGTTCTCAAAGTCCTTGAGCTCGTTCAACATAATAGTACCAGCCAAGTTCCTCCAGATAAACTCAAACCCTTCTTGTTGGTGAGGGTACATCTGAGATTTAACACCTGGGATCTTGTCCCAAACAGTCCCTTCAGTGGAAACACATCCTTCTTTTAAGCTGTTCTTGCCGTTAGCTTCAAACTCAAGGTTCCCAATGATGTTGTTGCTGTTTCCTTCCTCTTCTGATCTATCAGTCTTTCTCCTCCCACTTGTGTTCCTCTCTCCCTACATGAAGAAAGAGTATACTATGAGAACGTTTTTAGTTAAAAAATATTTGAATCATTTTGAGAAGATATACTAACCCATTCAGATATATCTAGGCCTCTGATCTCTCTCACCACAACACTGCAGTGTATACATTTCATACCGATCTCTAGATCTAGACACAAGTCATGATTCCCTTTTCTACAAGCTGCTGCAGGACTATCATCAATCTCTTTCTCAATCTGCAAAAAAAGAGTTAAAAGTTAGAGTTACTAAATTCTAAACAAAAAGAGTTTCAAAAAGTAAACTTGCCTCTGAATGAAGCTGGAGATCATCTTCGTTTGCTTTAGTGTAAAACGCCAACTCTTCCCACATCTTCTCTTCCTCTATCTGAGCCTCAGAGAGCACAGGTGGTGCTTGAGGTTCCTCCACACCAAAATTCTCTATCAATGGTGGTGGCCTAATGATTAGCCATCCATCATCATCACATCTTCTTTCCTCTTGTTCTTCAGCTTGGTCTTCAGGTGAGGAAACCAGTACGTCTACATCATCTTCTTCTTCGCCTAAACGATCATTCTCCCTAACAGAGTTCACAAGAAGCCTGAACAGATCAACTTCTTTACGGCTCCCATCCAACATTCTCCACCCACCTGCGTTGCTATTAGACTTGACGGCTTCTTTCTCCTTTTGTGAAGGCTCAGAGTCATATCCAGATTCATCTCCTGAGCTGATAGAAGAAGCAGACTCATTATCCATTGGCTCATTCACCAAAGCAGGCGTGTTTAACACTTCTGGAACTGTAACAGGCATCCTTGTTTTCAGTGAAAACTGTACTTCAGGTCTTGGCGGCATTTCAGGAGCCTGGATCTCTTTTTCTTTCACAGTTTCAGGTATGGATGTGAATAGCCTCGCAGGTGGTATCACTTCTTTCACTGCCTTTGGATTCTCAGTTTCAGGTCTGGATGTGGATGGCTTCTCAGGCGCTTTCTCAGTGTTCAGATCATTAGGAGAGACAAAGTTGTTCAGATCATTATCATCATCTTCACCTCTTGTAATAGCATGTGGTCTGATGAAAGAGTTGTCTGAATCAAGCATTCCTGTATTCTCTTTGCCACAGTGTTCACAAGTGAACACCACATTGCTATTCTGTTTTTTTACTCTTTCAACTTCTTTGTGTTGTTGTTCTTCTTCTGGACAGTGGAACTTCTGAATCCTCGTGTCCTCATTTCTAGGCTTGAATTGAAACCTATCTTCTTCTTCTCGGTGGTTAAACTTCTGAAACGTCTTGTCCTCTTTTCTAGGCTTGGCTTGGGATCTTTCTTCTTCTTCTTCTTGAAGTTTAAGCTTCTGAATCCTTTTGAACTCTTTTATAGGCTTGGCTTGAAATCTATCTTCTTCTTCTTCTTCTGGATGGTTTAGTTTCTGAATCTTTTGAAACTGAGGCTTGATTAAGCTTGGACCAGCCCTTTTAAACCTTCCCAAAGGCTTCCTTCCCACTTTAGACACTTTCCTAATTGGTGAACTACGCTTTCTGACATCATCATCATCATCATCTGATTCTCCAACTACCTCCTTTGAACTGATTTCATCTTCACTAGAAGAAGAGGAGGAAGAGGAAGATGAAGCTGAAGATGAAGAAGACGATGATGAAGATGACAAAGACTCCACAGTTACATCATCTTTAGTGTTAGTAGCTCCTTCTTCCTCGCTGCTTTCACTGGAAGTGTCTAAAACTCTGCTACACTCCGCAAAAGAAAGCTTCTTCTTGGCTGAATGTCTCACTTCGGTTTCAGACTCAGAATCTGAAATTATCTCTATCTCAGCTGGAACTGGTTTTACCACTCCCACTCCTCTAGTCTCAGAGGAACACTTGTCCGTGTTCTCTTTTGCACCGTGTCTTAACCCTGAGGAGCTCGTAACAGATTTGACCACATCCGAATTCAAACTCTCATCATTCTCCTTGTTACTTGACCCCGAGGAGCTTGGAACAGACTTGACCACATCCACATCCACAATCTCATCAGACAACTTTGGAACTGGTTTGACCACATCCACATCCAAAATCATCTCTTCAGACAACTTCTCCTTAACACTTAAACCTGATGAGCTGGCAGCTGATTTAATCACATCCATAATCTCATCAAACAACTTCTGCTTAATACTTGACTCAGAGGAGCTCGGAACTGACTTTACCACATCTAAATCCAAAACCTCATCAGACAACTTCTCCTTTACACTTAACCCAGAGGAGCTAGGAGCTGTCTTGACCACATCCAAATCAAGATTCTCATCTTCACACAAGTTCTCCTTAACACCTAACCCAGAGGAGTTTGGAGCTGTCTTTACCACATCCAAATCAAGATTCTCATCTTCACACAACTTCTCTTTAACACCTAACCCAGAGGAGTTTGGAGCTGACTTAACCACATCCAAATCATGATTCTCATCTTCACACAACTTCTCCTTAACACCTAACCCAGAGGAGTTTGGAGCTAACTTAACCACATCTAAATCATGATTCTCATCTTCACACAACTTCTCCTTAACACCCAACCCAGAGGAGTCTGGAGCTGACTTGACCACATCCAAATCAAGATTCTCGTCTTCACAAAACTTCTCAGCAACACCTAACCCGGGAGAGGTAGGAACTGTTTTACCCACATCCAAATCCAAAACCGTATCAGACAACTTCTCCTTAATACTCAACCCAGAGGAGCCTGGAACTGACATGTCTACTTCCACAACCCTAACCCTAAACAAATCTTCTTCCACATTCTGTTCAGACTCAGTTACCTCGGCACCACTAGGTAGATTGTCCTTTTCAGCTACTTCAGGAGCGAGATTCACCGTGACATCTACAAGGTCGGAGTCATGATGAAGATGATCCTTGTTGTAAGTCTCGGTGATGTCTTCAATGTCAGAGTCATGGTCCTTTCGTCTTCTCCTTCTTCTTCTTACACCACCATCACCATCAGAGGAGGAGATGTTGTTGTGAGATACATTATCTGCAGCAGAGACGTTTTTGTTGTAAGTATCAGTGATGTCTTCAATGTCTGAGTCATGGTCCCTTCGTCTTCTTTTCTTCTTTCGTTTCCTGTGAGAAGACACAGGAGCCGCCTCTTCCTCTACTGGTTTCCTCTTCTTCACTTCTTCAAGACGCTGCTGGTTCCTTGTTTTGATTCTTGAACCAATAGTCCACTCCATTATTAGATCTGTTAAAAACAAGAAACAGAGTAAGAGAGAGAAATATTATGAACCTAAGATGTAAAGAAACATAGAGAGAAAGAGAAGTACAAACCCTTAAAGATGATGAACACAAAAAAACCCTAGAAGAAATCTTCAAACTTGAGATTCTAGATCTGTGGTTTGAAACTGTGTGTGACTCGGCAACCAATGAGAGTGAAATATAGGGTTTTAAAATGGGAGTTTCCGTAAGAGAAATGAGTATTTCTAGTTTGAGGAAGTGTGAGAGAGACAGTCACAGAGAGAAGTGATGGGTGGGGAAAGAGAAAATGAGGGCATGAAGAAAGCGTGATGACAAAGCCATAGGCTCTGCTATTTTCAGAAAGACTCATACCGCCAAAAGTTTGACCCAAGAAAACGTACCGTTTTACCCATTCTTCTTCTTCTGTTCATTTTCTTACATTTACATAAAGCAGTCTCATTAGTTAGTTTCCATTTCCAGCATTGTTTTGTTAAAATAAAAAATAAAAAAATGTTACTCTGATTTATTAATGGTCAAATTAATCGTCACTTACTGCAGGAAAAGAGATTTTCATTACAAGACAAAAAAAATTGTAATAAAGTGTCTTTTTGCTTACGAGTGGAAAATCACATCAAGAAAGAAAAGTAGAAGCAAAAAAGACATTTATTTACATAAATAAAATTTTACTATAGAAAGAAAAGCAAATTGACCGGTAGTAGAAGACTTGAATCAGATATATATAGAAACAAATGCAAGAGAAATATCACAATCAAAAATAAAAGTATTTGTTTTTTACCAAAAAAAAAAGAAGTGTTTGTTACCCAGTTCAACTACCTGTTTACGACGTGTCGACCGCTTATTGGTGCGTAAGATAACTCAGCCTTTCCGTCTGCGTCGGTAGGATAATAATATGTTAATCTGTAATTAACTTTATAATAGTCTTTTACTAATCCCAACCTATAATTAATTAATTAATTAAATAAAACCTACAATTCTTTTTCTTTAGAAAGAAAGTAAAGTAATTACTTTTACACTCTAGTAGGGACCGACCTCCGGCGAGAGAGAGAAGATGGGATTCATATCTTATTAAACTCACTACGAGACCAATGAGGAAAACTCAATTTTTTTTGTGAGGAATGCAAGGAAGCATGAGGAAAAACTGACGGAAAATAACACTTGATGTAAATATGTTTTTTTGGTTGAATAAATTTTATATTCATTCAAAAAAAAAAAGAGTCCAAGAATTTTGTTTTTTTTGTTTTTGTTTTTTAGAAAATGATTTCGAGCAAAAGACCAGAAATGAGATAAAAAGTAGAAAGACTCTAATTAAGAGCAGAAGACCAAAATAAGTTTGAGAAACAAACTCAGACAATCAGCATATCACTTGTTACGGCGGCCAGTCTACGTGCAGTTCTCAATGGCAGGCACAATATCTCTCCTAAAGCCTCTGCAAGGACAGTTGATAACAGTTGAACCCGTTGGAAGCTCGGATCAACAAAAACTGACGGCAAAAATCAAATAACATGCTGCAGTATGGTGTCATCTTCAACGCAAAAATACAGTTGAGCACAAGAGTAAAAAGCCTTTTTTCAAACAGAATTCGAGATTATATAAATCACACAAACAAAGAGAAGATAGAAAAAAATTGAAAAACAAAAAAAGGAAACGGGAATAAATATTCAGAGAAAGAAAGAATCAGCATATAACAAATGAAAGGCAGTAATAGAAGAGTCTGAGAAGACAGCAGCGGAGGACTCGATGTTCCCCCAAAGCTGAAATTCGTCCTCGGTTTCCCAGTGTCCCTTGAGGGAAACCTCAGTAAACCAAAGCTCCAAAGTCTGATAAGCAGGACCTTGGGACCAGAAGATGGCTATCCTATCAGGAGGGAAGGCACAGATTTTGATGATGTGTTGCTTCTGCAGCTCTTCCAAACCCTTGACTTCATTCCAACCCAATTTATATAGAGAACGCCACAGTACTCTCCCGCCGACACCACGGCAGATGAATGTCTCATCATATAAACGCCAATCGTTGTGGTTTTCCGGGTCAGAGTCTTTTACTCCCCCTGCTGCCAAAACCCTACATTCACTAGTCGAGAAAAAGAAGATTTCGCCATCCTCAGCAACCATGTAGACATTTTTCTCGTGCATCGTCATACTTTCTTTGATTTTGAGGGGCATCTTAATCTTGGGCGGCATAGACACAACAGACAACAACTCCCAAGTTTTCGTATGGATATCATATACTTCTACCCAACAGTTTGCAGTGACATCATCATCCCAGCACCCTCCAAACACATATATCTTCCTCTCCTCTATCAAGCTTGCCGATGCTCCGCTTCGAGCCATCTTCATGGGGGCAACACGGTACACTTTGTGATCGATACAATCGAAAAACGTGACTCCCGATGTGGGTTTGCCGTCCATGAGGAGTCCACCGATGGTATAGATCCCCCGATCCGTCCTCACGAAACAGGATCCTTCTACTGGAGCAGCAGCAGGGCAGAAGCTCCTCGGAGGAGGAGGATGGATCCGTTTCAGGCGACGCTGCACGGGGTGGAAGACGAACCAACGTGGGCATTGGATCGGGATACATGTGCATGTATACGTACATATAGGGCTCCACGCTCTTCAACCTATACCTCATGCTCCAGAGTTCATGGCACGCTGCGATATTCCGGTGTCTCCTAGAGACCGTAGCTAAGGCCACGAGGTCCAATCTCGGCAACTTAGCCAGGATGTCCACAAACACATCATCTGGCAGCAGCGACAATAAACCCCCACACACCTCCTTCTTCTTCTTCTTCCGACCACTACTACATCCCCGAAGTCTTCCTTTCATTGATTGATTGGATCAGTGTCCCCTTCTCGCTCGCAGCGACACAAACCTAATTGGAACGCCGGCCTGATTGTCTCTTTATTTTATATTTTTATACAATTTGTCGTCTGGCAAAAAGAAAAAAGGAAAGAAAAACTGGTGAAAAGAGGAAAGAGCATTTGATTGAATGGATGAACCAAGCGGTTAAAGACGGTTCAATTACAAAATCTTATTTCAGATGCAAATTTTAATTTATTTAATTTTAGAAAAGTTTCCTTTTTAGAAAAAAAAATAAAGTAGTACTGTAAATTAGTTTTAGACTCTAAAAATCGATAGAAGCTGAATCTAGTAGGGACCGACCTCCGGCGAGAGAGAGAAGATGGGATTCATAGTGGGACTTGTATTCGGACTCGTCGTCGGAATCACAATCATCATCGGCTTCGTCAAGGCCGAGAATTATCGATCCAAGCTTCGCTCTGAACTCGTGAGAAAACGATTCGCTTTCTCAGATTTGTTTCAGCTCGATTTTGATTTTTTTGTTTCTTTTGTTTCTCAGGCGAATACAGTGGCTGCTTTCGCGAGGATGACGGTGGAGGATTCGAGGAAGCTTTTGCCTCCTGAGTTTTATCCTTCTTGGGTCGTCTTCTCCGAGCGTCAGAAGTTAAGTTTGTCAATAAAGTTTATTCCTTTTTTGTGAATTGGTGGATAAAGATTGAGACTTTATAGTTACTTTTGCGTTTTTTTTATTTATTTCAGTTGACGTGGCTGAACCATCACTTGACGAAGATCTGGCCTTATGTTGACGAGGTTTGTTAAGATCATTGAGTGAGAGAGAGAGATGTAATCACTGTGTTATGGATGAAGCTATTGTTTCTAATAGAGGTTTTTTTTTTTTTGTATTCATCGTGAGATTAGGCAGCTTCGGAGCTTATAAGGGCATCCGTGGAGCCTGTTCTCGAGCAGTATAGACCTGCCGTTGTCGCCTCTTTAACATTTTCTAAGCTTACTCTTGGTACCGTGGCGCCTCAGTTTACAGGTTTGCCTTGTTTATTCCTGTTTTTGATATGTAAGTTTGTGTTATAAGGTACCAGGACTGAATCATTTCTAATTGGCGCTGAAATCCCGTTGCTTGTGAACTTTTGGGTTTAGTGGAGTCCATCTTGTACTTGCATTAGTAGTCAAGATTTTTCTTGTTTTTAGGCGTGTAAATGAATTCATGTCTATTGGGAAACTTATATGCAAGTGGATAAAAGAATTAGATGTGGTTTAAATTCGACTATAGAATTAATTAGATAATGGGCGCGGTCTGTGGCTTCTGTGTTTAAAGTTTGCAAAAGAGGTCATTTAATCTCAAATAATATTTTGATGTTGCTTTGGAATTAATGAGTCTGCTTGTGCTTTTTAGGTGTTTCCATTGTCGACGGTGATAAAAATGGGATGACCATGGAACTTGATATGAATTGGGATGGAAATCCAAACATAGTACTTGGCATCAAGACCTTAGTTGGTGTATCTCTTCCAGTTCAGGTATAGGACATGTACCTCATGCCTGCCTTCAGTTGTTTATTTTTTCTATATATTGCGAGATTGATTCTTATGATCCGACTTGACATCATATTCTCCTGGAAATGCCTTTTCGTCATCAAGCCCAAGGTCTAGATCAGTAAAAAATGATTTCTTATTTTCTGTTTTCTAGGTGAAAAATATTGGATTCACGGGTGTTTTCAGGCTGATTTTTAGGCCACTCGTTGATGAATTTCCTTGCTTTGGAGCTGTCAGTGTTTCTCTCAGAGAAAAGGTTTGTTCCCTCTGAACTTTTGAAGCTGTAGCTGAATTTACTAAGAGATTTCATAACTGTTTTTGTTACTTTTGTTTAATATTGTTGCGTCCTTGTCCATGCATGCCTGAGCATGCATATGTGTGTGCTTGATTGATTTGATATAAGAAAGCTGTGTTGTCACAAAATCTTTCGCTGGCATTGTGTCCGTTATTTAGCTTAAAACATCTAATTCTGTATTGCAGAAAAAATTGGACTTCACCCTTAAGGTCGTTGGAGGTGACATTTCATCAATTCCTGGACTTTCTGATGCTATTGAGGTTTGCCCAACTGTTTTTATTCTGGTGTTGTCCACCTATTAGCATTTATTTGTTACTAAATGACTACATGTTTTACTAGTGTCACGACATCTTCTCTTATAACACATGGACCTTGTTCAAATGATATTTTTTTTGTATAATCATAGTCTACATTCCTAGTTTTCTATTCCTTTCCAATCTCAGTTTCTTAACCAAAGCTCCGTGATACTAGTGATGCAATGCTGTAATCTTTTAGAGGCTCCTTTATGCACTGGGGCATATGACGCTTACAAGTAAGTTGGCGTGTAACAGGAAACAATACGGGATGCCGTGGAGGATTCAATCACATGGCCTGTGCGGAAGGTCATACCGATTTTGCCTGGTGACTATAGGTACAATTCAAATTAAAAACATGAAGTTGAACCGTTGACGTAATGTTTATTGTTTTATAGATTTAAGCCTCACTTCAGTGGAGGAGTATATGCTCAACTTAAGTTTTTTTCCTTTTCAACTCTCTTACTGCTGTGTTATAGCACTATCAAGAAGAAGGTGTTTGTCTTTCTATTTACCCTATTCTGTGTTTCTTTTCCCAGTGATCTGGAGCTAAAGCCTGTTGGAATGTTGGAGGTGAAGCTTGTGCAAGCGAAGAACTTGACCAACAAAGATCTAGTGGGAAAATCAGACCCCTTTGCTAAAATGTTTATACGCCCTTTGCGAGAGAAGACTCAAAGAAGCAAGACAATCGTAAGTAGTTCATTTGATATTTTTTTTTTCGGGTGCTTAACCTACCACAATGATCTTGATGTAATTCCATATCTTCATCAGAACAATGATCTGAATCCCATCTGGAATGAGCATTTTGAGTTTGTTGTGGAAGACGCATCAACTCAACATTTGGTGGTTAGAATATATGATGACGAGGGTGTACAGGCATCTGAGCTTATTGGTTGTGCCCAAATCCGGCTTTGTGAACTTGAACCTGGTAAAGTGAAAGACGTCTGGTTGAAGCTCGTCAAAGATTTAGAGATCCAAAGAGATAACAAGAACCGTGGAGAGGTTAGATAAGCTATAAAAGTTCCTCATAACCTATAAATCCTGTGATTATCTGACGATGGCTAACGAATACACGTCGTTATTGATTCTCTGTAACTTAGGTTCACCTTGAGCTACTATATGTCCCATTCGGTACGGGAAACAGCGTAAATCCCTTTACCAATTCATCGATGACTTCCTTAGAAAAGGTGCTCAAGAATGATGCAACAGACGAAGTAAATGCCTCATCTCGTAAAAGAAAAGATGTCATCGTAAGAGGAGTGCTCTCTGTGACTGTGATATCTGCAGAAGAGATACCCATACAAGATCTGATGGGGAAAGCTGATCCATTTGTCGTTCTCTCCATGAAGAAATCAGGTGCTAAGAGCAAAACTCGGGTAAGATCTCTCTTATATAAGGAGTTACTGATGTTTCATCCTCTTTCGTGTCTAACTAACTATAATTTTGTTGTGTCACCAGGTTGTCAATGACAGCTTAAACCCGGTTTGGAACCAGACTTTTGATTTTGTAGTTGAAGACGGGTTACACGATATGCTAGTCCTTGAAGTTTGGGACCATGACACCTTTGGAAAGGTAATCTTTATTACGCTGCACAGCATCAGATGGATGTGTTATTTCTCGCTTGGTAATAAACGTTGTGGCTTTACTTCACTGTCTAGGACTACATTGGTAGATGCATCTTGACATTGACGAGGGTTATAATGGAAGAGGAATACACAGACTGGTTCCAATTAGACGAATCCAAAGCGGGAAAGCTTCAGCTGCATCTCAAGTGGATGGCTCAGTCAATTTATCGTGATTCCTAAGTATGTTTACTCAGATACTTATTTGGAGGATTTTCAACTTCGAGTGTACATTATGTTTAGTAGCCTCAAACGTATTTACTCTGTCAAACAGAGACGGGTCTGCATGTAGCTCAGAAAGCTAAAGACTTGGAAATGAGTTCCCCTGTTTTGTGAAAACCCTAGTTAATAATACTTTCTGTTACTTGCAGTATAAGAGAACAAGAAACATTCATTTCCAAGCTCGAATATTATCATAAGAGTTTTTCTAAAGCTTAAATTAATATATTTCTACGTTTTTCCACGTATCACCATCTTTAACAAGTTTCTGAATCTGTTGACACATCTTAACGGTCTTGACAAAACATTTTTGACAAGTTTTTGTATATATCCTAACAAGCCACGCACACTCGGTGACAAACAACACCATCCGCCACGTGTTACAGTCCATGCACATGTCCATCTCTTTTTATTAAGCCGAGATGTTTCTCTTCTTGACTATCAGTCTTAGTAAGGAGATAGAGAGAATCTATTTCTTCGATGGAGAAGGCAGTGCATTTGTCAACAAAAGCTGGACCAGAGGTTCCAGGAGAGCCAACGAAGATGTCAACCTCCATGGTTGACTCAGCTGCTGCTGCTGTACAAAGCTTCACTCCTATTAACCAAATCCACCAACATCTCTGCGCGTACCATTTTTTATAAACTATCCTTAATTGTTTATATAACTCAACTTATGTGAACACATGTTCTTTTGATTTATGTACATGCATGATTGCTATGTAGGTTCCATTTTTATGCATATGATATGACACGACAAGTGGAGGCACATCATTTCTGCGGACACATCAACGAGGACATGCGTCAGTGTCTGATCTACGACGGTCCTGAAGCCAACGCTCGTCTGATCGGTTTGGAGTACATAGTGACAGAGAAGCTTTTCATGACGTTGCCTGATGATGAGAAGAAGCTTTGGCACACTCACGAGTGGGAAGTCAAAGGAGGGTTCCTGTTCATGCCCGGTGTTCCCGAAACAATCCAACGCCAAGATCTCGAGAAAGTTGCCAAAACGTATGGAAAAGTTTACCATTTCTGGCAAGTTGATTTGGGGCATGAGCTCCCCATTGGTTTGCCTAATATTATGATGGCTGTTACTCGTGACGGTCAACTTTACCCCGAGATGGTCAAAGGTAAGTAAATCATTTTAGTTATATGGTTATGTTATGAATCATATATTGAAAATATTAAGAGGTTTATTATGCAGAGACGGAGAAGAAGTTTGGGGTGTCGATAGAGAAAGAGAGAGAGTCAAGGGCTTATATGACTGGACCAGACCATGGGATACATCCGTTGGCGAATGGAGGAGGCAAAGGGCTGAAGTTGGAGGTGCGTGAGGTCGACCTCAAGCCAGTAGAGTCTGTTCCGAGAGTCTTTGTCTAAGTTAGTTAAGGGAGAGAGAGGGGAGTCTTTTTAAGAGAAGAATAAATAAAGAAGCGATCGAGCTTTTGCTTTTGTCAAGTGTGTCTCTCGATGACTTGTAAAAGACACTTGAAGATAGTGTATGTAGTGTTCTTGCTTTTGTCTTGATGACTCGTGAGAATCTTGTTTATATTGGTAGTTTGGTACTTGTTTAAAAATTCTATGATCTAGTTTTAAGCTAACATTATACGAAGAAACGAACAAATATTTTTACTGACAAGATAAATATTCATGTCATCGACTAATCAAGGATTAATACTTTGAAATTGACTTAACGGAACGACAAATTTTGTTTTTGTTGATGAAAAACATCAGTGAAAAGAAAACAAACGCATGGTCTTGTCATGTGTGTGTGTTTATAAGAAAACTTGAGACACAGACACTCCCATGTTGCGCCATTGCGCTATGGATATTCCATGGAGAACGATAACACTAGCTAATGTAAGAATCAACCAAGAAGATACGGTATGCAGCGATGGAAGCAACATTCAACAATGCAGGCTGAGGTACTGTATTAAACGGATAAGTTGTTAGAGATGGTTTAATCATAACAGCTGCGTTTGATATACATTTTCTCGGTTCAATAGCGATTGTATGCAGTTTCATCTGGACTATTGTTGAACACCTGCCAACATCATATGAAAAGAACAACGTTGACTGGCTACGTTATTTTTTAGATGGATACGGTTAAAATTATTATTTTTTGGGACTTAAATGGTTTGTTACAGTTTAGTATAACCATTCAAAATTAGTTGAATGAGGCACATTAGTTAGGACAGATGCACTTTTAAATGTAGTAGGTCTAATAACTTTATTTTCTCTTTTTTTTTTTTCCTAGATTAAGAACACTAATACACGTTTGCTAAGCAACCTACACAATTTACTTTTACGTGTCTGTCATTCTGCTGTTAGTTCTATCAGTTGTTAGAGATGAAGATGGCTAATGGTTTGTTTCGGTAGTCTATCTCTATTTAATGTGGGAAGTGGGTTTGCAAACAATACTCGGAATGGTTCCAATCCCTTTAATAGCATATGCCAGGACAGAGTCTTGAATTCAACTGAGACTCTAATAGTGTATATTATATTATACACGATATTGTGAGAAATTGCACTCTTTTACCTACAAGCATGTGCCAACTTTCTTTATATTACTACTAGGTGTGGACCCGTGCGTTGGGTTTTTTCTGTTTAAAATTTATGCAAAACGTAAAAAAGAAAAAAAAAATTGTAACTGTTGGATTTTGCATATATTGCGTGAAATTTATTTTAAAAATAAAAATTATTTTTTCACATAAGTTTTGGTTAGTATTTATGTTTCAATAATATATTTTTTTGTCGGCTATGTTTCAATAATCATAGTACATAAACAGCTATTAGCAATGTTGAATTTAGGGATTAAAATAAAAATCTAAACCCAAAAATTTAAATTAAATATAACCCTGGAAAAATATAAATTAGAGTAAAATACAATAAATTAGAAAGTTGAATTAAGACAATCGAATCGGTGACAAAATATGCACTTTGTATAATTTCTCTATCTTAAAAAAAATATAGTGAACAAAATTACATCTCTATATTTAGAGTAAAAATAGTCTTACTCTATATTTCTATAATAAAAAAATAAAAAATCTATTACAAAATCATATAATTAAGCAAATTTACATTTATATATCCAACACTTTTACCTTCTTTATATGTATTCACGTTTGGCTATATTCATCTAAAGTATTACAATTCTCTTTGGTTTAATATTTTAACAGGAAAAATACTATTAAATATTTATAAGAAAAATATTTCGTAAATATTTTAATTTGT